GCCACTAACATCCTTTTTTATGGACTTATCTCTCCGATTGATCTAAAATGAGATCTATTAATTTAAATTTGAATGTATAATTATTTGTATCAAAAATAGTATAATTATTTATAATTTTAAGTTAAAAAGATATCTTAATCATCCTTATTTATATAATTAATTATATTAAATGAATTGATATTATAATATAAAAATAAATAAAAAAAAAGGGTTGTCAACACGAGGACTTCCCAAGCGGTCCCCCACCTTAGTACTAACCTCGCCTTAAGCCGCTTAACTTCGGAGTTCGAATGGGATCCGGTGCTTTAGGCTTAGTATGGCCGACAACGATATTTACTTAATAGTTATTATAATAAATATCTTGCAAATAACATAATAAATTTTATATTAATAAGTTAATGATTAGGTTAGATATTTCATTTTTATAGAAATGCTTTTTGAATATAGGTTTAAAATAATCACCTGATCTATTATATATACTGATTATAAATATAAAAAATTGTCTATTTAATTAGGTTAAGACTTTTTTAATCAATGAATCTCTTTTGCAGGATTTTTTGTTGCTTCGTCAAAAGTATATTCTGAAACATTTTTATTTTATTTAAATAAAAAAATATTTTTTAATAATAAATATCAATAATTATTTATTTTTTTGATAATATGAGTCTATAAGGAGAAGATAAAAATGATGAAAAAAAAGTATAAATTATAGTTGAATACGTGGAACTGAGCAAAAATTATACAATTTAATGCCCCATCAATATTTCAGTTTATAATTTAGTATATATTATCTCTGAAGTGATTAATAAACCATCGAATATGATCTTTTTAAGATATCATAACAAGACGTTGGACTTAGATACAATTCTTTAGGATTTTTGCTAAGAAAATTAGATTATAGTTCTCTCTTTGAATGTTATATCAGATGCTGGTTTTAGACTTTGGTGATTATATAATAAAAATTATTCTACTTAAATTTGTTTTAGTTTTCTTATTTATATCTCTTAGAAAATTAACTTGATAACTATTTAATTTAAATTGAGAAACATCATTAACTATTTTTTTCAAGAATAATTTAATACTTTTAGTTTATTTTAATAAATAATTCTTATTAATAATTTGATTATATTTAATCTATAATTTGTATGAATGAGCATGAATTCAGTAATGTACAATTACAATATTATTCAATAAATAAGTATATTTAATGATGATCAAGTTTCAAAAAGGATTGAAAATAAAATAGTAATTATTTATATAATAATAATAAAAATTATTTATTTTGTTTCATAACATGAATCAATTTGAAGAAGATAATCAGGATGAAAAATACATAATTGTTCATGTTTTATACTATTAAATGAGCAAAAAATATATTATAAAATGCCCCATCACTATTGAAATTTATGAATTAATTGAGATCCTCAACGAAGTGGTTAATATACCATCATATTTGATCTTATTAAGTTATAATCAATAAACTTTAGATATAAATAAAACTTTAAAAGAAATTTGCTAAGGAGATTAAACAATAGTTCTCTCTTTGAATGTTATATCAGATGCTGGTTTTGGGCTTTGGTGATTATATAATAAAAATATTCTACTTAATTTTGCTTAAGCTTTCTTATTTATAGCTCTTAGAAAGTTAACTTGTCAACTGATTAATTTAAATTGAGAAACATCATTAACTATTTTTTTCAAAAATAATTTAATACTTTTAGTTTATTTTAATAAATAATTATTATTAATAATTTGATAATACTTAATCTATAATTAGTATGAATTCAGTTATGTATAATTACAATATTATTCAATAAACAAGTATATTTAATGATGATCAAGTATTTCAAAATTATTTGAAAATAAAAGAGATGAATAATGTTATTGACTCTTATAACTGCTTGCAAGAGAATATATAAATTTAATGAAGTTATTTTATTCACAATTCATAATATATCCAATTTATTTATTTCATCTTAAAAGAGTGTAATTGACATTTTTATTTATTTAATGGAAAGTACTAGTTTTTGAGGAAATGTAGGAATTCAAAGAATAGAATGGAATATAATATCAGAATAATTGACAAATTTTACTAATATTATTAAAAGAAAAGTATTAATTATTTATTTATTCACACTGGTATAAAATATTTTAATATTGCATTAATGAACCGTTTTTTATAATCTCCAGGATTAACAATAGTAGGAACCTTTAAATTAGTGTTAATATAATACCATTCCTCCTTTTAATAAATATTTTAAATAATGTTCAGTTTCTTTATCCCAAGTATAGAATCTTAAATAATCTATGATACCCATTCTAAGTTTCTTTTACTTTTAATCTATAATCAATAATAATGAATAATCAATAACATTTTATTTATTTAGGAATTTACAATCAATCTATAAATAAGATTTACATAAATACTTAAAATGCTCTATCATTATATCTATAATTTTCTTTGAGAATAGGGATAGGTTCTGAATTTCTATCAATTCTGAAATTGGTATCTAATAGAACTCCTTTCTTCTTTTTTTCTAGTCTATTGGTTTCACTTCCTTTAAGATCATAAACCAAAAGATTAGATGGATCTCCCATACCAAAATAAAGATTTTCCATAACTAAAAAATATTCAGTTTATCCTCTATCTCTAATTTCAAACATTCCAAAGATTTTACTTAATAGAGAAGGTTTAGATTCATAAAAATGTCTATACATATGTTTAAAATAATCTAAAGCAAATTGTTTAAACATCATAAATTCCTTGTCTTATTCTAATTTTTTAAATACAAATAACTCATCATTAGATTTGTAGAATTTAGATTATGATTTACCTCCAGATGCACTCCAAATATTAGTAGATGATATAGATTTAATAAATTATGCTAGAGTAATTCCTGCTAATAATCTAAGAGCTTCAAATTAAGTTGGAAAATAAATTAAAACTTCAATCCATTTATTTTTTCTTGCCTAAGCAGTGGGTACAAATTACTAAGGATTATTTAATGGCAACGATTTTTCTTATATAGTTTGAACTTCATCAAATTAAGAGGCTAAATTATTTTAGAATTATTATTGTTATTGAAATATCTAATTATTTGATTTTTCATTCTTTTTTTCAACATCATAATTGATTTTTAATACAAAAATATCTCTATTATCCTATTTATAATATATTTATTATTATTGATTTATATTATTATTACCTAAATCAACACTCATGTATCTAATGTTTTCAACATCTTATTTCTATTCTTTTGGAGATAATAATTATTAGAAAAACAATTTAGCTTACTCAGATGATTTTTGAACAGACTCAATCATTACAAAATCTTAAGTATATAATGAAGGTAATTACTTTCTTTTTGATAAATTTCATTGATGTATTTGGGATGATTGAGTGTAAATGATATATAAGATAATGGTTAATTTTCATAGATTGGAACAAATTCCTAATTAGATAATAATAAAAAATTTACATAAATCATTTGAGATTTAATTAATTTCTATTATTCTGCAAGAAATGAACTTATATTCCATTCTTTTTAAAAATTATTATTTTGATTAATATCTATAGTAGGTATAAAATTATTAGATTGGTTTATATTTACATTATCAAGATCTTTATTGGAATCATGATGAGTTTTTTATATAGATTATTGTAATAATCCTTAATTTGCATCAACTAAATTAATAACATAATTATTATTATTATGAATTTCAGATCCATTTCTTCTATGATTTCTAACAAATAAAGGTGACTATTATTATATATCTAATTCAGGAGAATATAGAGGTGGTATAATTAAATCACTCAAATCAGTCTTTCCAGAACTTGCTCTATGATTTGTTTCTTCAATTTCTTGCATTAAATGTTTTTATCCTGAATGAAGATGATGATCCTCTAATTCTTAATTTGAATGATACTATTTTACTTCATTTAAATTATTCCCTGAATCAACTTTCTCTAATTCATAAGTAGTTTTAATAGTATTAGTATTATTTGTTAATATTGAATCTTAATTCTTTAAATTCACAGCAGCATTTTGAATTATATTTTTAAAATCTGGATTTAATTCTTTCTTTTTCTTATGTTCTTAAATACTTTACATAATATTCTTATATTAAAGTCCAAAATCTTAGGATTATTTGAGTATTTAAAAGATTGATATATATTATGTTTCAGCATGAATTTTTTCACATTCTTCCTTTAATTATTTAATTGATTTGATTAGTAAATCAATTTCACTCTTAGCCAATGATTTTGGTATAAGATTAATCAATGTAATTCCAAAAGTATTCAATTTGTTCATTAATTCATCTCTAAGTTATTTAATATAATTTTATTCCCAAACCTTTAGATAATCATTAAATGAATTATCTTAAAAATTCAATAAAGTAGTTTAATAAACATCAAATTCACCTACCATTACTTTCATCTAATATCCATAATATGAATAGACTCTTTAAATTTGAGTATGATTACATGATGATATATTTTGATAATTATTTATTGTTATATTTTAAGTTAAAAACAATTATTGTAAGAATCTTAAAAACGAATATTCCAAATATTTCTAACTCAAAATTACTCTATCTGTTAATTATTGCATACATAAATTACACTCAAAGTAAGTTTCAATTTATATTTTTTCATTTGAATGATTCTATTTAATTATACTTGGTAAATCTTTTAATAGAAATGTTCTATTCTCATCACTTTATTAAATTTATGATTATTCTTTCTATAATACTATTTATTTTATTTAATTCATTTATCCATCCACACTAAATTTAACATATCTACCAGCATTATAATATATAGAAACATGACTATTTCTTGGTAATTTACAATATTCACATCTGAATTATAAATTAGCAACTTTTAATATAATAAATGCACCCATAGACATATCATCATTTGAATGATAATAAGCTTTAGGTTTCTCAGTTGGCATATTGCACATATCAGCAAAAAAATCAACCACCTTTTCTTTTTGAGGTGGAAACTCTTTTTAATAAGCCAATAAAGCATTCATATCTTTAATATCATTAAAATTATGAATATCTGCTCTAGCATAATTAATTTTTACATAAGCTAGATCTGGTTTTATGACTTCTTTTAGATTTACTTTTTCAAATAAAAACTTTGTAAAATCACCAACACAAAAATTGAATTATTTATTTTATCTTAATTTCTATTCACAAAGTATTATATATCTTTCCACATCAAAGTGTTTGCCTAATCTCATACAACCAATAATGCATTATTTCAATTTCTATAATAAATCTTCTTATGGTCCTGATAACATTATTGTAACTCCATTTTTACCATCTTTTGTTTCAATGAACATTAATGTATTATCTTTTCCAGCTACATCTTATTTATCTGGATTTGGTCTTGGAAAATTACGAAAGAAAATCTTTTCACAATTACCAGTTACTTATGTTTCTTTTTATATATAACCATCTAATTTATCTAGACGCACAAATTTAGAACCTGTGCTTTTTGCTATTTTTCTTAATTAATGTATTTTCACATTTTAAACAACTGTAATATTGAATTTACAACATATATCTAATGCTACTTTACTGACTGATTTCTCAACTATAATAATGGTTGGTTTAAAGTTCTCTTTAATTTTCTCTATATAATCTTAAAGTACTCTCTTTTCTTTCAAAATGAAGTCATCAAACTATTAAGTCTCTTCTATGAAATCTAGATTCCCATGAATAATCAAAATTCGAGGTTTATAGAGTTCAGTTTACATTCTTTTTAAAGCTATGTTCTTTCTAATAACAATGCCTGGAAAATAACATGTTAATGAATAATCTTTGTATGGAAGCAATTTAGTTTTTACATAACAAGTGATATCTAATGGATCAGAGTTTAAAGATGAAAACTAAATGTCTTCAACTGCTTTTTTAACAAATTCAAATGTTGTTGA